TGGTGGCAGTAGCCTTAATCCACTTAATATGACTGCAAGGCTGCATCTAGGCATGATCCCATCTCTATCCTTGTCTCCCATCCCTCCACCTCCATTCTGATCAAATCATTCCAACTGAAGAAATCTTATTTAAGCCGCCATGAATGAAAGTCTTTACGTGCCTTTCACACAGCATTCCATGTGAATTTCTCTTTAGACAGCTATTCCTGATTACCCTTTCAGACTTAACTAAATGGCACACCTGCCAAGAGATTCTAGCTCACTACCCTCCACTCCCAACTTTAAATGATTTTCCAAAGCTCTCTTACATAGGCAGTTTACTCTTTCTTAAGAATAATTACCACCGTTGGTAACTTAAATATTTTTGTATTTTACTGTTTTATCCCCAAATTAACAATATGTTCCTTGAAGACAGAGAACCATATTTGCTCCCTATATCCAATGACTAAATCTTGATGTACATTTATTATTTGATAAATAAATTAGTGAATTAATGAACTAAAAAAATATGATCACCATCTTTCTACTTATGAATTCCTTACTACTCTCAGCACCATGTATAGCATAAAGTATCTTCTTAGGAAGAAGTGAGAGCAGTTTCTTCATGAGGTATCTCTGAGACCTCTATCTCCAAAGTAGGTAGGTTCTATGAAATACTTCAAATTCCTTAAGAATTCAAAGAAGGAATATAACAAGCCTGATAATAAAGCCTTGAAATTTAAGTATGAGTTTGAAATTTAAGAGATGTGCATGTGTATGAAGGGTGGAGGGGTGTCCCTTACCCAGTTAGTTCCTTGTTTTACTTTTTAACTACTTCTTCCATGTATGTTGTGTGTATCATTACATTAGAGTTTAGATATTCAGTTCACCTCTAAGGTATAATCTTAAAATCAAGCAAAGCATACCCAGTTTCAATGAGAAACATTTTTCTTTTCATGCCAATAAAGCAATCCTCCCACTGTGTGCTGAGCAGCTCCACCCACACTGATCTTCCCTACAGGTGCCTGGATTTCAACTGTGGTGACTTCATCCTTTTTATATGTTCTTTTCAAGTGAGACAAAAGCTCTGGAAGGTTAAAATGCTTGAAGAGGCATTTGATGTTTGTAAGTTATGCGCTGAACAATAAAGTTGCCCTTATATGGAGAGAGAAAATTTATATAAACTAGAAATTTCTTTCCTAAAGGGACTTCTTTCTAGACTTAGGTATAACGTCAAAAAGAAAAATCTAACTTTCTTTTATATCACCATTGCTTAGAAGAGTATTAAGTAGTAGAAACTATAAGAAATCAACTAGCGCCAACATTCATTAGTTATGTGATCTTGGGCAAATCACTAAACCACAAAAATTCCCTATTTCTATTTGTAAAATGAGGGGGAAAGTCTTAAATTATTCTTAAGGACTGAGCAATGTGGCACTGTCTCTGGCACACAGAAGATATTCCATGACTGTTAGAGTTGCTGCCTGCAAGAAAACATTCTGGTAAGTCCTGTGTTGTTTAACAAGTTTTAGGAAATCTAGAAGCTAGGGCATATTTAAAAGAAGTGGATGATATCTCCTTCCAAGGTCAACCAAGATCATCTAATTAACAGGACACACAAAATTCATGTTTACAAGTTCTACATTATCTCCTAGTTTAAAAAAGAATCCAATCCATCTCCTCAAAGGCTGGTATTACAACTAAGCAGTACTTGAGAAACAGTGGTATTCCTTTCTTTTGAGCATCTGTATACATCTTGGCTTTGTTTATTATACAAATAAAATCTGTAAGTGCAAGTCAAGTCTAACTTTAAAAATAGCTGTTATCTGATCTGCAGTTATAGATAAATTAGATACTTGAAATTAAGGAAGAAATTTAAGTGCTTAAAAATTAAAAATACTAAGCACAGGATAGACACTGAATAAAGGGAAAGAAGATTCTGGAAATACAGTATTTAGTCTTAAAATCTTTGCAGATTCTGCCATAAAAATAGTGCAAGGAGGACTATGATAAAGACAATGAAGAGGTATACTTAAGTTCAGAAATAATTTTTCGAAGCCAGAATGTTTTTTCATCTAACCAAAATAAATTTATGAATTTTCAGTCACAGAAAAATTCTGTTCATATGCACTAACTTGGGAATAATGTATCCCAGAGCCCTCCTGAGGAAATTTATGGGAGGATTTGTTTTGGAGAACCAAAATGGTTTGCAAGATATCAGCATAAGGCTTCATGGTGAGCATTAAATATATATTTACTTATGGATCTAAGAATAAATAATAGTTTTGAGAGATATGATACAGTACACAATCACATGTAAATAGAAGAGAATATAAAATGTGATAAAAGTTTGCTATTGTTTTACAGGTATTAACTGGGAGTTTAAAAACATCAATTCAAAATCAGATACTGAAAGGGAGAAGGTAGGAAAAAGAGGAAACTAATATCAGAGTTGCCCGGACAGAGCAGCATTAGACAATAGCCAAAATGTTAAGGTTAATAAACAAAATACAATGGTATTTCGTAACAACATTAACATAAAGGTAGTCATCAAGGAGGAGGGAAAAAGAAAACCTTAATAAATGCCAATAATTTTGTCTCTAGCATTATAGTCCATAGCATCTCTGGGGTAGAGGCCAGGGATGCTGCTAAACAGGACAGGGCCTCACAATAAAATCATCTAACCCAGTAGCATTTGAGGAGGTTTCAAATATTCACTGAGGAGAATGGGGAGCTGACTACGAATCATGGTTGCTTTAAAACAGTCAGTGCCCACTAAAGAATGGTGATCAGTGCTTTTTAATGGCAACAATCTGCACTGTTGTATGATTCTCCCAAACATCATTAAGATTAAGTGTATAAGTGAAGAGAACTGAAAAGTTTGACTAATACCTGGATGGGATTTTACCAAATAGGTGCATTCAAAGGACAAGGTAAATGAAGATATTGGTAAGAGAGCCATGGTCCACAGAAGTGATGGAGCATGGAATCTAAGCTAAATAAGGGACAGTAGCGGTCAAAGAGTAGCTGTACAAAAGGTAGCTGAAAGAAAGAAAAAAGACAGGCAGCCTGGAGTTCCCTATAAATTTGAAATATTTGCAGTAGGATAATTTAGTAAATGATATGCAATGACAGCAATAATGGTCAGACGTTGAGAAACAGCCTTAGTATTTAGTTTTTAGTATAGTTAAGATGATGGCAATACTTAGACTGGGCCCAACAGGTGGGTAGGTGAAGTGCACTGAAATACAGGTCACTGGAAGGAGAAGGAGAAGGGCAGGGTAATGAATACATCACAGAAGGCCAGCAAGGTACAGTGTGTACCCCTATATCCCATGTCATTTTGTCACTAAACATATACAGGATAAGTAGCAACAAAAAGTGAATACTGTAATAATTCTAACCAAAGGATTCCTTGCAGAGTCTAATACTAAAAAGACCAATCAAGGAAAGAGTGACACAGAATCCACCAGGTAGGTGTTCGACAGTTATATAAACACCCAGCTCTTCAGCACTGGCTGGTGTGGCTCAGTTCATTTGGCATCGTCCCATGCACCAAAAGGTTGCTGGTTGGATTGCTGGTAAGGGCACATACCCAGGTTGCAGCCTTCATCCCAGGTAGGGAGTGTGCAGGAGGCAGCTGATCAATGTCTCTCACATCAAATGTTTCTCTCTCCCTTTCTCACTCTAAAAATCAATTTTAAAAAACTTAAAACACACACACACACACACACACACACACACACACACACACACACACACACAGAAACAGCTCTCGAAATTTAGGGTTGGTTGATAGCCACAGTCTCAATAATATTCTTTCAGGGCCCCATATTGCTGGTTGTTGCGTTAACTGGGTAAAGAATGAATGAGATTATTCAAGAGTAATAGACCATTTTTTGAGGCAAAAGGATGCTTCAGTGGGTCAGGCAGTGATAGCCAGTTATCTACCGTTAAATATCCTGCAAGGTACAGCAGGGAAACTGGGGCACTGAATTTAGAACAGATTCTTAACAGGTAGAATTGAGACAGAAAGCAGAGAACAGGTGCTCAAATTTTCAAGGGTGAAGGGAAATTCCCAGAAAGTCATCAGATAAAAGCAACACAGGAGATTGTAGTATGGCCTGTATGCCTCAGAGACAGCTAAGATGTGTATTATTTTCTCAGCTTTGGGTTGTCACTCTCAATGCTACTGGTAGAATCTGGCACTGCTTGCTATCAAACCAGCTGAGAGAGCTTGTTAAAAACTTAAGGTTCCAGAGCTTATCCCAGACTACGGTTCATTAAATTTTTACATATTCCAGGAATCTACATTTCTAACTATTCATGCATCTAGTACAGGATGGAAGCTTGGGAATCAGTGGTATCTGCTACTTAATATTGCCACACCTCTTTTCAACTCATCCGCGAAAGCATCATTATTATAGTTCACATTCGTTGAAAACTCACCATAAGCCAGAGGCATTTCTAAGCACTTTAATTCTGTTTATTTTATTTAATGCTTCCAACAAATTTACCATGTAGATATTATTAACATTTTTGACTTAAGACAGAGAAATTAGGTAATAAAGCTGACAGCTGAGCACAGGCAGTCTGATAAGAGAGCCTGTTCTCTTTCTGACTGTGCCATCAGGATAAAATTAGCTAAGTGAAGTGAACTTTTTCCTTCAGCTCTTTACAATTCTATCCTAGATGTTGTTTAAAAAGTCATCATACGTACATCATACTCTCTGATTGCTGGTGAGACATTTTAATGAAAACAGGGAAATTAAAAGTGAATAATTTAAGTTTGGCAAACAAAACATTTTACACACAATGTTGTCATAAAAATATATAATGGAAGCCCTTCCTGGTAGAAGTTGCAAATAATTCCTAAAGACCGCCTCACACTTATTACCTACTTCTCCCATTTTCTCAGTTGTAATATTAGCTATGAGCTTAACTAGGAAGTTGATCAGTTCAAAAAACAAGAAATGTACATTCACCTCTTTAATCATTAAATTTGATATTTGAATACTTACATTTAACTCATTTTTTAGCATTTCTTCAAGATGATGACCTACATGTTCTTCATCTTCTTTGGTGTCCATAACTATGCAAATGTGTTGTGAAATTCTTTCTGAGGTACAAAATTTAAAAAAGAAATAAGTTTCAAATATAATATGGAACAAAGTCCTAGTATACTGAAACCTATCCTTGCCTGCTGTTCATACATACTGAACAAGAAGAGGAAGGTGTTAACTTTGGGCTAAGTGGAGTGACTTGGACTACACATTGAGATGTCCTTGACTCTTTTAACCCCCAAATCAATAAGTCTATCTATTTTACACTTTGTGGGTAGCTAACCAGGACATGTATAAGCAACAGAAATAAGAAATTCTAGAATACATTTGAATGGGAGTAACTGAATGTAATAGCCATTCAACTCGTCGATTCAATCTGTCCACGTTTATAAGGAGTCTTACAGATTCTGATAAGATCCCATCTCCCAGGCAGATCTTCTCTAGGCTCTATTTCCTGTGTGCAGCTCACTGTGCCACCTAGTGTCCTGGTTAAGTACAGCATTCCCCTTGGCATTCCTTTTAATTTAATTTAATATAAGTTCCTACCACTTAACCATTACCACAAGTGAAAATGCCAAATGGATTCTCTTCAAATTTGGAAGGCTTATTTGACATGATCTGATTTTTAAAACATAAGCTATATGACATAGTGATATTCACTGTTGTAAACCCTCAATGCACTCTCCCAAAAGATGTGCAGTCTTGCTCTACAGTAGACAGGTCTGACATACTAAGAAACAGCTAAATTGCTGCCAGTCAAGGAGACAGTGCATGGTATTATGTCATGAATGAAGGAGGAAATTGTAATTTTAAACAGAAATCCCAAATCAAAGTTAGTTTGATTAACATTTGACCCAGCTGCTTCTCACATGGGCAACTCCAGACAACATGCCTTAAGAAAACATTGATCTGGAAATAGTTAATGATTCTTGCAAGCATAGTTGGGGAGGACAGACTATTTAAAATAATATCTTCACAAGTTAGTAAGACTATTATTACTAACTACCTCCCACCTATCAAGAATATTATAGTAAACTAGAGGCCTGTTGCACAAAGAGATTTGTTCAATAGGCCTTCCCTTCCCCTGGATGCCTGCAGCAGTTTTCCTCCGGCACCCGGGACCCAGGCCTGAGCCTTCAGTCTTCACTCCGCCATCATTTCATGCCTATGTATGCAAATTAACCACCATCTTTGTTGGGTTAATTTGCATACTCTCCTGATTGGCTGGTGAATGTAGCAAAGGGACGGTCAATGTACATGTTTGTCTATTAGTAGGTAAGATGTTTAGAGAAATTTGGACTGTGTCATGTCCTAGCAAAAATTCAGACAGATTTTCAAATGCCTCACACACACACAAAAAAAATTATGATTAATTTTTTTATTATATAGGAATAGTAAAGATGGGATTTTGATGATGATTAAATGAGTTAGTATATATAAAGTTATGTAGAGTACCTGGTTATAAGTAAATCCCAATAAATCACAGGGTAACTGTTTTTGTTGTTATGGTGACATATATTTAGTGATAATTGAATAAGATTCCTTTTGTCTACACAAAACATAACCCAATTCTAACTTCAAACTGTCCCGTGAGGTTTAATGTTTCAGAGTTGGATAAATAATCTCTCTCAACTTTGTCCCACTAAGGCTTCTTTTCAAATTTAAAAGTTTTACCAAATATGCAGTAGTTATGTGTAACAATGGAATATTCATCTTGAGTAATAAATAATCCTGTTTCCACTCCTGAATTCCTTTAAAATTAACATGGATACTTTCTACTGAGGACTGTTTGTATCTTGGTTTGTCCATTAGATATAGGTTGAAGCATCCTATGTGATCTTTATTAAGAAATTCCACAAACACACTCTGACAATCTAAACTGGGAATGTTAATGTACTTAAGGTTTTCATTAAAAAAATAAATAAATAACAGCAATGACTATATATTTGCCATACATTTGAAAGGCCAAAATGAAAAAGAATGTAGCTATAGTAACAGGGTTCAAATAAACTGAACCTCTTCAATTTATTGCCCAACTAATAGAAAGAGAAAAAATTTATATAACACTTAAAGTTCTTTTTTTTCAAGAAGCACAAAACTTTCCAAACATAACATGATTAATCCTCATTGCTTCTCAAAGCAACGTCTTTAACATCTTCCTTGAGGTTAATGATGAAATCAAAACAAAAAATAGACGCCTTTAGAACTCTTAATCTGTGATTCTATTAATACAGCACGTCTTAGAAATTTTTATAAGTTAAGATAAAACAAAAGCACTGGTGAGAACTATGAAATCATGTTACTTCCCAGAATCATAAAAACTCTAACACAGGAACCTAGTCTTTGTTCTCTCCCCTGAAAAGACCTAAGGATAAATTGGAAAAATACTGGAATTAACATTAAATCCTACCTGACCTGTCAACTTGATGACTAATGTTAAACCCTAAGTTTTCATTTTCACACTACCTTCTAGCTTTTAAAAATCTTCCTAAAAGGACACTTGTGGCACATGATAAAATATTTTGATAATGAAACCATTAGGATACATCCCCCACCAAAAAAAAAATATTTTAAATATGTACTCTCTAATTGAAACTGTATAACTCTTCATTTATATACCGCATCTGAGTGTCACATAGCTTAGTGTGATTTAACAGAGAGAAACCTCAAACTGGAACAAGCCTTGAAGTCTACAGGTTGGTATTAAAAGCTGTAAGTATTAACTAGTAAGTCCACATTTTTCAGTTAATATCTTATCCCCATGCATGATAACTTTTAAGTGGCCAAGGTATTGTGCACAACTGCCAATGCAGTCTTCTCCCCTCTCTCTTATCCGCTGGGTATATGTTCCAAGACGTCCAGTGGATGCCTTAAACCATAGATATACCAAACCCTATATATACTGTTTCTTGGTATATATGCATGCCATTGATAAAGTTTCATTTATAAATTAGGCACAGCAAGAGATTAATAGCAACAATAATAAAATAGAACAACTATAACAAAATCTATATATAAAAGCCTAAGTGACCAAATGACGGAACGACCAACCGATCAATCGGTCGCTATGATGCACACTGATCACCAGGGGACAGAAGCTCAACGCACAGGATAGGGTTCCCTCCTGTCTTGATCAGGCCTGAAGGGATCAAACTGAAACCAGCTATCCAACATCCCCCGAGGGGTCGCGGATTGCGAGAGGGCGCAGGCCAGGCCACAGGGCCCCAGCCGTGCACAGATTCGTGCACCAGGCCTCTAGTACTGTAACAAAAGTTACATGAATGTGTTCTCTACTTTCTTCTGTCTCCATGTTTCTGATGAGAAATATATAGTCATTCAAATTATTGCTCCCCTACAAACAATGCATCACTTCTGATGACTTTCAAGATTTGTCTTTATTTTTTAGCAGTCTGATTATGAAGTATCTGGTGTGGAATTGTATGAGGTTATCATGTTGGAATTAACTGAGCTTCTTGAGTCCACATATTTAAGTCTTTAACCAAATTTGGGAATTTTTTCACCTAGAATTTCTTCAGAATTTTTCCCCTATACTGAACTTTCTCCTCTCCTTCCAGGATTGAGATGATCTGTTACTTTCCCACATATGCTGAGCACTATTCATTTCTACCCCCCAACCTCTTTTAATTCTGCAGTTTAGACTGAAAAAATCCTGATGATTGAACTAACTTCACTGGCACTTTCTCTGTCAACAAGTCTGTTTTTATTTTGGTTCTTGTACTTTTTTCAGTTCTAAGTTTCCATTAGGCTCTTCTGTAGGTTTTCTATGCCTTTGCTGAGACTTTCCATCTTTCATTTCAAAAGCATTCCCATAATTGTCTAACTACTATGCTGTACAACTAAAAGTAATACTAAATAATATTGAAAGTAAACTGTAATTGAAAAAAATTATTTTTAATTTTTTTAAAAAAATTCTGCTAATTTATTATAGCATTTTATAATCAGTGCTTTAAAGTTTTTGTCAGATAATTTCAACATCTATGTCATCTCAGCATGGGTGTCTATTGGTTGGTCTTTCCCATGTGAGATAGGATTTCCTGGTGGTTTGTATGCCAAGTGATATTGGGTTATATCCTGTATGCTTGGGTAATATCCTCCCTTACAGTCTCTACTGTACGTCATTCATTTCTCTAATGCAGCCCTTTTCAGCATGCCATGATGTGTTTTCGTAAGTGTTTAATTCCAGTATTATTTTAACTAAAGTCCATCTAAATCTAATAGTTTATGAATGAGACCAAAATTTTATTTGTTATATACTCATTTATTAAGTTCCTCTTGGTATACATAAAGTATTCTGTCTTTGTTCAAGGGTTAGAAAATAGACGCAATTGGGGTCTTTTAACTTCACAAAACAACATATACAATTTCTAAAACACCATATGACAAGACACACTGACTCAACATGGAGAAAAAAATATCTAGACATTTGCCTCCATTAATTAATCATCAGTAAAAACTCATGAGTACTCAGGATGGTGTTTGTATTTTGCAAGAAATTTTCAAATAGCATGGAGGAGAGACAAACTTAAGTACCATGCTAGTTCTACAAGCAAGTGAGAAAAAATCCAGAAGTCAGCCTTCCACTTTCTTAAAATCATTTAACACCATGTCGTCCATAAGACCTCATTATCCACTATATGGACCTCTTTCTTTCTTTCTTTCTTTCTTTCTTTCTTTCTTTCTTTCTTTCTTTCTTTCTTCTTTCTTCTTTCTTTCTTTCTCTCTCTCTCTCTCTCTCTCTCTCTCTCTCTCTCTCTCTCTCTCTTTCTTTCTTTCTTTTTGGCCTTGAAGCTAGAATTTGTTTATTTATTCATTTATTATTTTGGTTAATCCTCACCTGAGAATATCTTTCTTTCTTTCTTCTTCTTCTTTTTAGTTACATGGGCCTCTGGAGCCAAAATTTTAGTGTTCTTATGCAAATAAACAAGTATACCAAATCAACCATAATCCTTTCCAAAAGATGTTTCAAGTCTTGATCCTTTCAAAGTAAGGACAGTTATGTTCTATTCTCCTGTTGAGTTCCTTGAATCAAAAGCCA